CTGCTATTCCAGTAGATATATAATAATCAGTAAAGGCTTAAGATGTAAACTCACTAGCATTATCAAGACGAATTGTCTTAATTGCATAATCTGAAATTTGTGCTCTTAACCTTATTATTTGAGTCAACAATCTCACAAATGCCATATTACGTGTTGATAATAAGCACGCATGTCTTCCAAATGTGAATAACATGATTCTTAATACCTTTATTCATAGGGTTACATTGAGGAACACCAATTGGTGTCATGTACATGACATTAACCATTGAGATTATGAGAAAAAATCATGAGGAGGGTATGAAGGTGTGGAGTTACAACTATAATGATGAGAAATAATGGAGTGTTAACTACATCATGAGAAAAAAAATAGTGGGAGTAGTGAACAAAATATTATAATTTACAACAAACATAAATATATTCTTTCTCTTTTAGGACATGTATGGAAAGCCCCCTTGTAATTGAATTTGAATATAATTGGGTGTAACTACACAGTTTGACATGTTTGTTTAGAATTCGGCGTAATTGAGAGAGAGTAATTACACTCTCCAATTGTCACGCCCCCAATTTCCCTCTGTAGGATGTCATGATGGCACCTAATCTCTAAGACTAGGTAAGCCTAACATACATGTGGAATATAACTGAAATAACTATAAAACTCTCAAATACTCAATAACTATCATAAAGGAAACTTCGCAACTCAGCATAAACAAACTTCCCAAAATCTGGTGATAACAAGTCACAAGCTCTATGAGTAAGTACTGATCATCCCTATAGAGCAGTGTCTATAAAAGTGAAAGAAAATGAAGTAGACTAGATAGAGGGTGACTCTGAGGCAGCCTGCGGATGCCAGCAGGAATACCTTAAAGTCTCCGAAGCTGAGCTCGTCTCACTGGTGCCTGGACTGGTAGGAGGAACCTTGATCTGCACAAAAAGATGTGCAGAAGCATAACATGAGTACACCATAACGGTACCCAGTAAGTGCCAAGCCTAACCTCGATAGAGTAGTGACGAGTTCAGGTCAAGGCATTACTGGAATAAATAAGAACTGAACAGGGATACAACAGCGTAATAATGATAACGATGAAAATGAAACAATACGGAAATATACCAAGATTAGCTACATTGAACCAAGGCAAATAATGTATCACGAAAGAAAACAAGGAAGAACATGCCAAGGAAACAAAGCAACCAAACACAAGCGAAGTACAGAAAGGTATCAACAAGAATCACTTCTGAGGTACTCCCTCGTAGTCTCATATCATAAAATAATTCACAATATTTCCTTATATCACCGAGGGAGCCTTGCATTTAGTTTTGAAAATCATTTTTCCCGAAATAGCTTCCCGCGTTTTAGCCCACCCTATCACACTGCGTGGCTTCAAGCAGTTCTCCTACTAGCAACATGCGTATCAAGCCCACCTTATCTCACTGCATGCGTTTCAACCCCAATCCTTATACCATCGCATGCATATCAATATCACAACGTATCACAAATCGCACCTCAAGTACCCAATATCACAAATTGCCAAAGAAGTCAACAATAATAGTATTTTCACAATAAATAGCTCATGGATCAACCACAATATGCACAAGAGTCTCAATAATATCAACCGGAAGTGAATAACTCAACAAGGATAGTATTTCACAACTTAACAACTTTGCCTCAAGTAAGGAACTCAACGGTTAAATAATGAATAAGGAATAGAGGAAACAAAAATTTCAACTAGGCATGTAAAGGCAAATAACAAGTAAAAGGTAGGGCAAGTAAAGCATGTGAAGATAGACTAAAGATGATGAATATAACATATTATGGCAACTCAATTAAAGGCATGAAAAGAATTTACATAGCTAGAACCGGTCAATTACCACATTAAGCCCGTGTGCATACCCGTCACCTTGCGTACACAGCTTCCACACATCACATTTAATACAAAACAATACCAATCCTAAGGGGTAATTCCCCACACAAAGTTAGGCAAAACACTTACCTCAAAACACGCTACGCAATCCACTAGTAAGCCTTTCCCTCGATTATCCAACTCCAAACAGCTCGAATTTAGCCAAAACAACTTTATACCATAAATATAAACTATAGCAAATTATTCTGAACAATAAAGTTACTATCTTTTAAGAGAAACAAAAAGTCAACTCAAAAGTCAAACCCGGGCTCGCGAATTGAACCCGACCAAAATTACGAAATTCGAACACCCATTCGATAACGAGTCCAACCATACAAAAATTACTCAAATCCGACTTCAAAACGCCTTTCAACCCAAAGTCTAAGAAGTTTTCATAGATTTCCAACTCAAATCACTAATTAAATGATGAAAATAACAATGGATTCATGTAATATAGCCATAACCGACTTAGAATATCTTACCCTGATAATTTTCTTGAAAACTCTCAAAAATTCGTCACAAATCGAGCTCCCTAGGTCCAAAAATAAAAATGAGATCAAACCCTCGAACTAAGCGTTTTCTGCCCAGCGATTTGCGCATTTATGGGTTCACTGTCGCACCTGTGGAAAATCCATTGCAGGTGCGGTTCCCACTAATCTCAGGAGATTCCGCTTCTGCGAACCAAATCATGCACATGTGCGTCCGCTCCTGCGCTCTCGCGCCTGCGGAAGGGGCTCCGCTTCTGCGACCCCACGCTTGGCTAGCTTTTCCACTTCTGCGCTCCCTCACTCGCACAAGCGAGTCTGCTTCTGCGGACACTGAGCGCATCTGCGGCCCCAGTTGGGCAGGTTACATTTTGCTTATGCAGCTTGAGGGCCGCTTCTGCGATGCCACACCTGCGGCCCAAAATGCGCAGGTGCGATTGCACTAGACACAACAGAGGTTCAGCAATGCATCAAGTCCAAAATTATTTCGGATTTAATTCGAATCACACCTGGGGCACCCGGGACCCCGTTCGAATATACCAACAAGTTCTAAAACACATAACGGACCTACTCGAGGCCATAAATCACATCAAACAATATCGATTCAACGAATCGTAACTCAATTCAAGCCTATTGAAACTATGAACATTCGACTTTCAAAACTAACGTAGAATCATACCAAAACAACTCTGATTGACCTCAATTTTGCACACAAGTCATAAGTAACATGACAGGCCTATTTCAACTTCCAGAATTAGAATCCGACCTCGATATCAATAAAGTCAATTCTCGGTCAAACTTCTCAACCTTCCAAACCTTCAACTTTCTAACTTTCGCTAATTCAAGCTGAAACGACCTACAGACCTCCAAATCAACATCCGGACACGCTCCTAAGACCAAAATTACCATACGGAGCTATTGGAATCGTCAAAATTGTATTTCATAGTCGTCTACATAAAAGTCAAACTACGGTCAACTCTTTCAACTTAAAGCTTCATTCGAGAACTGTGTCTCATTTCACTCCGAAACTCACTTGAACCAATATCAAACACCCCCGGCAAATCACATAACCATAATACAACATAGAGGAGTCAATCAATAGAGGATCGGGACTAAAATACTCAAAACGACCGGGCGATTCGTTACACCATTTCTCAAGAGATGTGAAAATTGGCGGTAGATAACTTTTCAATTTTTTTTCCTTTAATTACTTTTTCCCTTTCATTTCTTTCCGCTTCCCAATTTTTTTCTTTTCAACGTCAAGTCACTTTGCTGTTGCTTTCCAGATATGAGAACTGTACAACTCCTTATATTTCTTCTTCCTTTTTAAACTTTTATATTTTGAATATTTATTTCCCCCATTTTAATATTATTGAAATATTATTATTTTTGGATAAACTTTGATGGATGATTATGATAATTTGAAAATATCATTATTATACTAACTTTATAATAATTAGTTGTTATACAAATTGTGTTGTAGATAGATTGATGAGTAGTGTTTCTAATTTGCTTAATAGAAGTTTTATTTTGTGCTCATTAGTATAAATATTATTATAGAGAAGTACTTTCTTAAGTTATACCTATCTTTTTTCTTTAAATTTAAAACTTTAATTTTTTTTATATATACATGTATTTTTCACACATTAACAACTTGTTTGGATGGTTGTTACCTATTGTGTTGTATCGTGTTGTTACTTTAAATACGATGTTTGTTTTGATTTTTCTTAAATTTTATTGTATCGTATCGTTAAATTCGTTGTTACGTAACGACGAAATTTGTTACTTTATGTAACGACTGATTTTGTGTGATCGCGTTGTTACCTTATTTTTTTCTCTCATCTCTCCTTTCATTATTATTAAATAATTTTAGTTTATCCTTTACCATATCTTTTTATATAATAATTCTACCTCTTATCATAATTTTTCTTTATAATGTTATAAGTTTATTCTTCATATCGCCGGTGTGTTATATTATGAAACGACATCAAACGATACATTCTATCCAAACATTGTATTCATCAAACGATATAGTACAATACAATACAATACAATACGATACGATACATTATGAAACGGTAAGTAACAACTAACAACCATCCAAACAAGTTATAAAGTTTGCTTACTTTGTATGTTACTAGTTTTATTTTCTGATTACTGGTATAAATATTTATTATAGAGTATACTTTCTAAACTCATAGTTAATTTTCTTATATTCAAATGAGTTGGTAAAAATATTAAATTCGTTTGTAAAATTTTTATTAATTAATTTAAGTAACAATACTATTTATTTGGAAGATATCAATTATTTATGACATTATTTATCAATTTATAATTATTTAATATATTTTTATAAAAAATATTTATTTAAATACCTTATAATAAATTAATGTTTGATATTCATTATTTACATATACGTATATTATGCAATAATACTTATCTATATGTTGTTTGAAAAAAGTTTGATTAACGATGTAATTATATTTGTCCAATCAAATATGATAATAAGATTTGCATGGTAATTACATTCCGGCAAACAACCAAGGTGTTACACTGCCCAAACAGACCCTTAGTTTAGCAATAAAATTTTATTACACTAATGACAGCTGAGCGACATCCAATATTAAATTGAGTCTCTGCCTTAGTTCTTCTCTTCTATCTCTGCCTCCGTCTCTCACTTCCCTAGGAGAAGCAAAGAATTGCAGTCTGTAATCTGTATGTAGATGCGTGCATATACATACATATATTCAGCTACCTATATTTTCTTCTAATTTAGCCAACCGTTGATTCTTGGATGATGCTGGCTTAGATCCCCCTCTTTTCTTTTTGTTTCTCACTTGGGTATAATTCCTGTTATCCTCTGCTTTATGATTTATGCATATGTATGTTTTGTGATATATTCATTTTGTGCATATGGATTTCAATCTATGTCATCTGTGCACTTGTGCGCTTTTCCTCTAGTAAAATATATATTGAAAGAAATGGGGTTTTGGAGAAATAATTGAATTTACTCAGGTTAAAATCTCAGGAGAGGCCAAAAACACTAGGTAATTTCTTCGGACCCGCCTTGGTGAGCAGAGTTACCCAGTATTTGTGCCGGTGGGAGGGAGTAGATATCCGGTGGAATAATCAACATGTCCGCCCGTATACTACTGTCATAAAAAAAAAGAATTGAATTTACTGATTTGGGGCACTTCTTTTTTGGTTATCCGTCTTGATTTTGTGACATTTTGTTGTAATGTATGTAGTTTCTGAAAAGAAGATGCTGATTATTTGGAAGTTGCTGATAAATCCTAAGTTCTAAAATTCAATTATTTTTAGATTCTATCACTGCACTCTTTTTGCCAATGCTTTAGTTTGCTTGTCTTGTTTTATGGTATTTATCCAAGTGGCTTTACCTTATCTCTTTTTCTTTCCACTTTCCTTGTGATTCAGCCATTTTCTTTATATTTGGAAAAATGGTTGTATTTTGAATTCACGTATGCAAATCGCGCGTGGAGAATTAGGTTTTCTTTACAATTTAGGGTTCAAAAGAAGTAGATGGTTATTAATGGGATCTTGATTTTGCAGTCACTTGGATTCATTTTTTATTTTTATGTTGTGGATTTATATAACCGACCAGAACAAGTTTTGGACTGAGATATAGTTGTTGTTCTTGTGCTTTTATTTAAGGTGCTTGGTTATTGCGCGTGCAAGCACTGTGATGGCATTCACTAGTACTGATAAAATCAGATTGGCAGATACAGTGGTATGTAGTTATTCTGCTCTTAATCTATGGTGAAACCCATTATTCCATTGGTAGCCATCTGAACTGGTTGTTGAACCAACAAAATTTTCACCTACTTCAGTTGCATGCACCAAAATGGATCAAGTGAATATAGAACTACTCGTATTATACAACCACAAGAATTTTTCTCCTTGATTAGTTGGTGCACAAAATGTGACCTAGTTATATCTAGAATTATTGATTTTATCCTCTCTCCTAGTTTTAAGTTTTGTAGTAGGAGGGACATATTTTCAAGTAGCTAGACTAGATTCATATGACCCTAGCTTCGCACAGGTTTAGGCCAGTTTAATTTATGGTTGACCTATTTCCTCCGCCTGGGTGCAACTTATTTATGTGTCTTATCAGACTTTACGTCTATACCAGTCACTTTTTTTTTAATTGTGTTGACAAAAGTAGGAGCTGTGTATTAGTATTCTTAAGCAAAGGGTATAGAAAAAGAACAGAAATGGGAACTTTAAATATCTAAGCTAGTGTAGCTACTATTGATAATTCTTCAAACTAGAAAAGATGCTTTTACTTGGGGAATGCAACTTGTCCACTTACATTTGTTGCGTGTTTAATGGGATATGGACTTTAAACCCTTATCTGCAACCACTGGGTTATGAAAGAATAAAGTAATGTAGAGATGCTCCACATCAATTAAAAGAGATTGGGGTTGGCCTGGTGGCAATTGACTTGAGCCTTGGAGTTTGCTCCCTTTCAAGGTCTCAAGTTCGAAACCCACTGGGTGCAAACAATTTCTGAGGGCTATCGGACTGGGTAAAACCTGAATTAACCGTGGTGCACTTGCGGGAAACTCGTTGCCGAGGGCCTGTGCACCCCCAGGATTAGTCGGGGCTCAAAGAGACTTGGACACCCGGTGCAAATCAAAAAAAGAAGAAGAAGAGATGATGATAGAAAAAACCTCACTTCTTGACTTGCTCTGGCTTGTGTATGTATTTTTCCCAAGTCCGAAAGTTTTGGTTTTCGATCAAATAATCTTTCCTCAAATACTTTTAGTAGTTTAAAACATCCTGCTATATTAAGGCTAGGTACTTCATTTCTTCTATGTCCTACTGAGGCAAGTTTTCTAAATGTGCCATATTTGGAAGAAACTCCAACTATTACTAAAAATGGTGTGGTTTTTATGATAATGAAGAATTGCTTGAATGGAATTCCATTTGTCAGATTTGTTATTTTTCCGCAGTTTAAAGTAGTGAATGCTAGACCTTTAGGACGATAAACGTTGTATGACATGCTTGAATATTAGCTACATGTTTATTAATAGAATCTTTGCAGATTCCATAAAGTTGAGGCTGACGTATGTGGATTGTTTTCTTTTGAGGTCTTTTTTCTTACCCATTTAACATTTGTGTCAGCTTTGAAAAAAATTGTGTTGAACAATAACAAGGTACTAGTCTTGCTGCATAGTTTCTTTTTTGGATGAAAAAAAGGTAAGCAGCAATGACTAATACATCATTAGTCATTGGTTCTTACTTAAGTTGTTGGACAAGTGATTGGTTGTTGGATGAGATGAAGTATTTAAGTATGGCAAGCACATTGTTGTTAGAGTAATTTAACTTTGAATAGTCTGTTAGTTGCATCAATGATACTTTCCTACTTCCAAAATTTTCCGGAAACCGAATGCATGAAAAATGATTCAACAATATATCCAAAAATTCGATTTGATAAGCTACCCAAAAAAGAAAGAGTTTACCAATTGCATAACTTCTTTGCTGTTTGTAGCGTGTGGGATCACGTCTTGCAAACAATCATAGTATGACCACTCATCCTTCTAATAAAATCAATGTGTAGATCTCAACTCCCTTTCCCCCTACCGGCAAGGATTGCGTATCCACAACCTCGGGCCGCCTTTAAATAATGTCCGTGTTGTTGAAGTGAAGTATTTTATCAGACTGATATTTTCTCTTTAAGTATATCACTTGTAGAGTTAAATTGATGTCAAAGTTTGCACTTCTCCAAACTCACTTTGCACTTCCCACAATCTAAAAGTTAATTAGAAATATTTGTATCACCTTCCTTTTCAACTACTATTAAAGATTGTCTTCTGTATACTTCTCATGTGAATCAATTATATTAAACTTCACCTAGGTTTCACAAGAATAAAAACAACTTATGCCTCTTAGGAGATGTAGAATTCATAAACTTCTTTTTCTTTATAAAACCAAGCGTTGGCAGAAAGTACTTTGGAGGATCCGACACGCACTCAACAACATTTTTGAAGAGTCCGAGTAACATAGTATTGGACTACTAGTCCCTATGTTCGGGCGTTGCACAATTCACTGAAATGATTTTAAAATTTTGGACCACATATTGTAAAAACTTTTGCTTGAACTATAAATCCTCACAATAAAAACTATATTAACATGATTTATATAGCCGACCTGAGTGTGATTGAACTATATTTGTTGTAATTTTTATATTGTGGGCTACAGTAAGAGTCTTATTTGTATTACATGAGTTGTATGGATTAGAAGTTTAGTTTAAGTGTCATGCTAATAGATAGTTGTGAAAATATTTCTTATTAATTTCACATTATTATCAAATACTAAATATTTTTCTATAACTTGAAATATTTGATGATAAGTTTTAGAAAACACTTTTCCTTTCTTTTGTACATTAATGTCAGAATATTTTCAAGGGGTAAAAGGTCCATCAACTCTACAGTGGCATTTTGGTATGTCAAAATTTTACATAGATTCTTCCCACTTTTATAAAAGTAATAGATTAAACATGTGCAATTTTGACTTCGAGGTAAGTAAACTGTACCTTATCAAAAAAAAATTGACTTCGAGGCAAATGCTAATGGTGCTCTTGGAGACATACTTCACCTTAAGTCCTTATGTTTCCTAATGTATCCCACCTAAGGTTTGTTAGGAAGCTCTGTTTACCTATGTTGCGCGGACTCTCCAAAATATTGCCGCACCCGTGTCGGATTCTCCAAAAATACACTGCTTTTGGAGAATCCAACATGCACCCGGCGATATTTCGGAGAGTCCGAACAACATAAATGTTTACTGAACTTAGTTTTTAACTTTATTGTAAGGAAAAATTCTTGATAGGTTATCCACCAGGTGGGAGTGGCATCTCCTAAGAACTTGACCGTAGACTCATGTATTGATTTTGTTTCCAGTGGATGCCACTATTAAAAATGCAATACTTTATCAAAAAGACTGCACTCTAGACTTTAAAAGAGGTTATTTAAGTCTGCTGTTCAGACCCTAAATAAAGCTTACACCAATGGTGCAGGATTAGTGAACAGAACTCAGATTAATTGGTTGAAATTAGATTTTGAGCTTATTAGGTTAAGAACTTAAGATTTATGACCAACAAAGAATCTCCTAAAACAGTGGCTTCAGACCTTTTTAAGATTAAGACAAACTTCCTTGGAAACTCTCCCCGAGTGTCAAGTGGTTCCTGGTATCCAGTGGTTCTTGCACACCAATATGATCAAGTAATTAGACCAACTTTTCAATGTGAAGTGGCCGCTGTCTAGATTCATTTGCACTCTTGATGACTTGGGAAATGTTTTGTTTGAAAATATTTGATGCTAACTTTCTTGTTTGTTCAATATAAATAGTATTCCTAAGTTTCTGATAAAGATATAGTATTCCTAAGTTCTGGCTCCCCGACAGGGATGGGAACAGCCTTCGGACTTTACCTGTTACCTGGCACATCAGCATTAAATAGTATGCCTAAGTTGTGGCTCAAACTATTTACCTTTTGCTGCTTTATGAATGATTTCATTTCCCAGAACATCAACTTCCTTTCATGGTTGCCAAGTCTCCTGTAAAGTCATTTAGTTGAGCAGTTTCAAAATTTAACTTTTGCCACGGATCTCGTTTGTGGCCTCTCCTAGCCTTATCTGGACAGTCACTCTGATTTATCTTCATGTAGAATTTCCTGTTATTAATGATATTTAGTTTTATTGGTCTTTCATTAGTTTTATCTTGCATTTTCTTGGTGATTTTAAGTCATTGCTTTCATCATAGAGAAGAACTCCTGTACTTTGAGTGCCCCATAGAGTTAAATTATATTTTCTCCTTTGAAAGTGTTTTTGTCGAGACCCCTCACATGTTTAACTGGATCTTCTTGTTTATAAATTTGTTCCTTGTACTAGATGGACACATTTGGGTATGGAGATTGTTTCAATTGCTACCAGACTGACGTTTCAAATTTGATTTATAATTGCTCTGTATTATCAACTCATGTCAGCTCTTGATGACTTGGTTTGGAGAACTCCCTTTCAGCATTTATTTTACCAATCCAAACAGGGGTTCCTGTCTTTGTAGAAAGTACATAAATTAGCCCTTTGGTTAAATAGGATAAAAGGTGTTCTTTTTCTGTCCTATGCTGTTCACTGTTCCAGGAGTTCTCTTGTTGAATAAATTATGTTTGCTTTGTTTGGACAGTTCTATTCAATCTAGAATTGGTTAGATGGAGCAAGATCATCTGGACCTTGCGACCCTTGGAAAAACAGATCATAATGATATTCATGGTTCTTCAGTTGCCAGTCACCGAGATAATATGAAGTATGAGCCAAAAGATTTGAGAAATTCTGCACACCCTGCTTTTAATCAGAATCCTATAGATGTTACTTCTTCACCAGAACGAGAAGATCATAGCACAGACGATGAGGATAACCAAGGTGAAGATGCTCAAAAGCAATTGGTGCTTTACGATCCTGCTGCAGTTGGTGCTGGCGAAATTGAACTCGTCCCTGATCCTCTTGATTCTCAACCTCGAGGAAACTCCTTTCCAAATTATACATCTAGAATTTTGCCAGCTGTAGGGGCATTTACCGTGCAGTGTGCTAACTGCTTCAAGTGGAGGCTCATACCAACAAAGGAGAAGTATGAAGAGATAAGGGAACACATATTGGAACAGCCTTTCTATTGTGAAACAGCCCGTGAGTGGCGTGCTGGAGTATCATGTGATGATCCACCTGATCTTACTCAAGATGGAAGTAGGCTCTGGGCTATTGATAAGCCTAATATTGCTCAGCCCCCTCCTGGGTGGGAACGTCTTTTAAGAATCCGAGGTGAAGGAGGCACCAGGTTTGCTGATGTGTATGTGTCTTGCATTCCTTCCCTCCTCCTTTTGCCGTTAGTAGGTCTTAAAAAGTGTATATGATTCTTCCCTNTGTTAGTAGGTCTTAAAAAGTGAATATATGATTCTTCCCTTTTAAGCTAGGACAAACACTGCCTAATTAACATTTCTCTTGTCATGATGATTTTTCAGGTATTATGTTGCGCCATCAGGCAAAAGACTTCGTTCTATGATTGAAATTCAAAAGTAAAATTACAAAATCTTGAATCTGTATTTTCTTTTCATATTCCTCATGGTTTTTGCTCAATGCTTTCTCTTCTCAGGTATTTGCAGGAACACCCGGAGTATGTAGCAGAAGGTGTAAGTATGTCCCGGTTTTCATTTCAGATCCCAAGACCTCTGCAGGAAAACTATGTTAGGAAGCGGCCTTATCGTCCAGCACTTGCACATGATGAAGATGATCCTGGTATGCCACGACCTTTTGAACCTCCATAGACATGGTTCTTTAAGCATTCTTAAGTTAAAAACTCTAGCATTTGGGATTAAAGCTTCGCGGTTATTGTGTGTTAACTGTAATAAACCGTGTATTTTCTTCTATTAGTGTTACAGATTTCAAATATTTCCGATTTTATTGAAATAATGGTCCCATGTTTCTCGCTTATGTCGCTTGTGGGGTCAGACATCGTTTCCGTGTTTCGGGGGCGCGCAACTCCGTAAAGTTCACAATTAGCAACAAAGTCTTCGCGGTGTTTTTGATACTGTCGCATCCACTAGAATAAAACGATGATTTTTTCTAAGATTCATGCATTTTGTATTAAGAAAAGCTTCTTCCCTCAAGCAACCCATTATTTCCCTCATGGATCTTCCATACCGGCGTCCATGCTTCCCTCCGTTTGCCATCACCAATCCACCTAGTGCAATAAAACTGGCCCGCGCAATTTCTCAGTCCTTCGCATGCTATGCTCAGTTCTGCAAACAGCTCCTGCAATATCAGCAAAGGTGGACGGATTGGGTATTCGACGAGGGGTTTGCAGAAATAATTGAAGACGTGGTGCTGGTTTTCCAGATTGCACCTTGCCTTCACGGTCCCCGACTAGGCGAGCTGGAGGTATTGATACCTCGTCACACCCAGGTCTTCATTTACACATCGTCCAGCCGTCTACGGTGGTTTCTGGAAAACCAGTGCATTGCTCGACGTGGTGAGACCGTGTTGGCCTGCATAATCCCGCCTTACATGAGTGACCTTTCACTGCAGGAAATGGCACGCGTACATAATGAGATTTTTCCAAGCAGTTACACGACGTCCGCGGACGTGCAGTGCTTTATCGCCATCCAACTCAGCAGCCTGTTCGTTGAGGAGCGAACATGTATCTTGCATGGGCGAAATGGCTTAGAAAGAACCTGCCGCTTCTTTCGTCGACCGGCCGGCTTCTTTAGCCGGTACGACATAGTGGCAATTGGGCCGGTGCTGTTCCACGATGAATTGAATCGAGCAGAGATCTCTGATGCACCTCCTTGCTGCTTTGACCCGTGGTACAACCATCAGGTTTTCCTTCAAGAGAGCGAAGCGCATGATGGTGTAGGGCATTATCCAGAGGGCACACCACTACCTAGTGTTGCCATAGTGGGAGGTGGACTGTCTGGTCTTGTTGCTGCAATTGAATTACTTGGCACGGGCGTCAGAAATATCACTCCTTTCGATACTGTTGATGAGATCCGTAACATTGGGGCGCCGCCGCCTGTGCCCATCGGCGTCCAAGAGGCCTTGACTTCATTTGGAGTCATGCCTTTCTCCGACAACCAAGTTTGTCTTTCATACTATCTGGACAAGTTTAGAATCCGTCCAGCCTCCGATTTCCTCGCGCCGACAACGATCACACAGCACTGTATTTCCGGCAGAAATGCTACATCTGGCTAGCCGGACAAGATCCCCCGGGGTTATTTCAACGGGTATACGTCGGATGGAAGACTCTACTGTGCCAAGGGTGTGAACGAAACGGCAGAAGGCTCGTCGCTCCGATGGAAATCTCTTCGATGTTAGAAGGGGGGCGTCATTACGAAGCCCGAGAGGCATGGTTGGCTTGGCTTACAGAGTTCGGCCATTTCACTTTCCGTGCCGCGTTGGTTGAGATCTTCACCTGTGGTGATTCCCCTCCTGGTGGGGAGGTATGGGGACCGGATGATTTTGAGGCTTTCGGGATCATAAGATTGGGGTGCGGCCGAGTTTCGTCCCTTTACCAGCACCTGCTATTTTCAACGATCCTTGGTTGGATAATCAGTGGCTACGAGGAGGATCAGTATCTTTCTATTGGCGGCATTCAACTTTTGCAGGCTCGCATGCGCATTGAAATATTCCAGAAAAGCCAGGGAGAAACACGACTCTGTTTTGATCCGGTGTGGGGGATAGCAAAGCAGAAGGGGAAATTCAAGGTATGCTTGAAAGACCAACAGTCGCTTTTTTTTGATCGGGTCATCCTAGGCGGCAACGCTGGAGCTGTTTCGGTTGAAACCAGACTGACCGGGGATAAGATCTCCTTCAGCTACGATGGCGCACGCGCCGTTGACTACTCGTCTACCGCTCGCAACTCAGCACTCTTCATGGTCACTAAGCAAAAGTTCTGGGTCAACGCCGACATTCCTGCCATGATTTGGACCGATGGACTTGTTCGTGAGCTTTGCTGCATCGACATCGAATCGCCAGCCGGGGAGGGGCTTGTCGTCTTTCATTAAAGTCTGGATGAATTGTTGTGTCGGCCGATGGACCGCCACAACAAGAAGCGACGGTGCTTGGAATTAGTTCGGGAAGTTTCTACTGCCTTTCCTCAGCTGGCTTTGCCGTTGGTCCCAGTCGATGAAAACTATGAACGGTACGTGTTTGATGGCCACCTGATGGACAGTTTGAGGGAAACTTCGTGGAAGGGAAGTTCTCCGGAGAATGGTCAATATTTCCAAGATCTGCTTCCGGGTGCTAATTCGACAGAGCAGGACGTGGGAGCCTGTTTTATTGACCGAGAATATTGCGTCACCGGGGCCTCGTGTGAGGAGTATGTGGAGGCCGGGATCAAGGTGGCTTGCGCTATTGTTCGCAGCACCGGTGGGACGCTCTCATCCTTCAATCCGCTGGACTGGTGTAAAGAATAGGAGTTTTCAGCAATAATAATGTTAAATTATTCAAAGTGCGTATTAATCCCGTAGGTTCATGTATTTCCATCAATGTAATGTTTAAAATTCTCTTTCAAGTTATAAAACCGCAATGCAAAATTTGCACTCATTCAGGAATTCATAAGCGCTATTTTGGGTCTCAGTGCTGCCAATATATCATAAATCTGACTAAAATAATT